ATACTTGGTCTCTCATACTAAGCTAACTTCTGTTTTTACTGCCAGTTCTGAAGGAAATAGCAACAAAATACTGAAGTGCTAAAAAGTCTAAAGCCTCAGTTTTAACCTGACTTGTCCATTGGTTTCAATGGAGCTAAAAATTGAGTGTAGTGTAAATTGGACATTTGATCAGGTTTCATTCAGCATATTTGGCTAAAATTATGTCTAAAGAATCCTGTTACAGGCTGGAGAATTTATGGGCCCATTCACAGAACCACACAAAGATTGTTCTTAAGCATCCAAAACATTTTTAAATTTAAAATAAATACACAATGCTGTAAATAATCAGCAAGTGAGGCAGTTTTTTGAAGAGTCAACTGTCATTAAGGGCTTGAACAAAAGTTAAAGATTTTATAGAAGTACACAAAATTTCCCATTTTCCCTGTTTTTAGGCCCAGATTGACAAAAAGCGTGGACCCAGTTTCTGTATTAAACAGAATTACTGTTTATTACAAATAAATAGATTCTATCTACAGATTATGAACCATTGACATATAATTGTACTAGTTAAACACTAACCCCACCTTTTAAAATGGCTGCTGCATACACAGACAGACACAAAAAAATTATGTTATGGGCAGAGGGAAAGACTGCAAAGGCAGTTCAATGGTGATGTCCAGTGTTCATTGATTTGTCAGGATTTGTTGCTCCATGATTTTCCTTCTCCAGGTACTTTTCTTTGCTTGCCGGAGGCACAGAGCAACTGCTTCACAATTTATGAAGTCTCTGATTTAGTGGTAAAAGCCACAGGTTACTGTAACTGATGAGGAAAATAATCTGGCTTTCTTCCATCTTGAAGTTCTTTTATACCACAAAGACAAGGACAGCCTCTTCCGAACCAAAGTCCAATGCCTTCTGACCAAACGTTCACAACCCCAGCTGTTCAGCTACTTGGGAACCAATTACAAGAGTTGAACCAATTACAACAGTTGTTGGCAGGCAGAAGGCATTTGTTATCGATAACTAGACACAGTTCCACAGACCAATCAGCTAATGTTGCCAGTCAAATCTGCCTTCATTCAACCCCCCTGGGCTCCAGCTCATCTGGAACAACTTTCACCCGTCACCTTTTAAACAAATAGCAGTGTAAACAGCACTTATAACGACCATCAGTTAACTTGCTTTTGAAAGGTGCAGTGATCCTTTTTGCAACCCTTGGCTTTTAAAAGACCCTTTACCTCATTTCAGTCAACATTCAAAAATACAGAGAAATAAATAGATATGGGCTAGCCAAACAATAGCCTGATGTAGTTATACTTGTGGAATCATACTTTACAATAGTTCTGCCTGTGGTGACTGGCAGAATAGGATGGGTGGGCCATGGGGTGTTGGAGGGGGTACATAGGTAATGAGGTGAGTTTAGGAAAGCCTGTTAATGAACACAGAAATAAACCCTTCATGAAACTCCTCAAAATTGACAATTAGCCAATTTTTGGTAAAATTCAACCTTCTGTTACCATGAAAATACAGAGTCTGGCTGAAACCTACCCAAGAATATAAAGTATGAAATTTTTATGAAGCACTTTAAAAACACAGGTTTTGCTGTTAAAATAACTTTTATGTTCATCTATAATATGTGAATTCAAATCATAAACAAAATCTTCTTATTCTGCTGTTCCATTTTTGCTGGTGTCCGGTGTCATGTTAATTTAAGAGTTTTATACATAGAGAATGCATGGGAGTTGTGCATCACTGGTGATATCAGCCTTTATTGACTACACCTATTTGCCTTTGAGAAAGTGATAGTGAGTTAAAATGGGATAATTGGTCTGTTCAAGCACTGCCATAGTCCTTTGCTTTATTCATATGTATATAATCCAGCAAGGGTACATAATATTGTTGGTATGGACTTCATCCTGTATCACATGCACTAATTCCATTGAATGCTGAAATGCTGGTGTAACTTTGACAATTTGATGCAAATGCATTGGTCCACAGTCTTGATAGTAATAAAAGGTAAACAAAGAGAAATACTAACATTTTTAACCTCTTGAAGTCTAACCACTTCACCCATTTGAAATGGCCTAGTAGCATTTTTGTTTCACGACAAATCATTAAAAATTCTATAAATACTTGATTACCTGTCAAAATCTTTTTGGACCTTTCTGACTCTGACTGCTAATTTTTAAGACCTTTATGTTTTCAGCTACTCTCACCCCTCTGAAATGATCCAACAAAGCCACAAGAATCAAGGAGGTAGCTAAGCCAATTAAGGCGAAAAAGCAATTAAGGATGGTGAACAAATGTTGGCCTACACAGCAATGTCCACAGCCCATGAAAGACTGAAACAAAATAATAGTATATTTATGGAGTGATGCTATTACTTTGTAGATTTTCTCAGCTAATTTAAATCAAAAATTAAAACCTGTTTTCATTATATTCTAGTTTCTACATTCACTCTGCTCAATGTAAATGTATTTAGATGTGAATTTATGTTCATACTCTTTAGTTTCTCGTTTGCCATGAAAATTGTTTAATGTAACTGGTTACTTGCACAGTCTAACAGGAGCACTGCTGCTCCATATTGTGAATGCCCAGTAAAGAATACTACAGTCAGTTGCAGCACCATCGACAGAGCTGAAATTCTCATTAGAGCTATGGTAGAGACTTAGTTCATGGTTAGCGGCAAGTAGCCTTGCTCTGAGTTAGTTGCTTTGTTGTCCTATTGCATGTTATCAAGAAAATTACATCAGTTTCAGTGTCGAGAGAACAGTGACATATAGCTGTAACATTTTGAGACTAAGCAAATTGAAAACAAATTCCCCCTGATGGAATAGTCGGGACAGAAAATTCAAATTTCTCTCCTTAAAAAAAAACCGCGACCTGTATCAAGTAATCAATTATTTCAGGGAGATGTACCGCAGAGTGCCCTTTATAAGAGTTAATGGCTTCATAAATCTGCTCCAGCTCTGATTGCTCATTTTTGCTCAGGCTAGTTCCAACAGTAAAATATCAGAAACAAACAGAGTTGGGCTACGTAACTATTGTTATAGAACAACAGTGTTGTTTTACTTAGGTTCAAGCTAGTTACAAAAGCGAAAATAGATATTACATTGAGTTGGTCTGCCGTCAATGGCAAAGCAAACATTTTGAAATTCAACAAGGTGACCTTACTTACTGAAATTTTAAATATTTTTCTTATAGAGAGTTACAAAGTAAATGTCATTTATTAGCTTCTGTATCAAGGAATAGAGCTTTTGTAATGGCCGCTCTTGTCATTTGTGGCTTATCTGACCGCAGTCATTTCATGCATGAACAGAAATTTCAGATTTCAAGAAGGTTCAATAATTTCCCCATAGCCCTGCACTCAATAGAACATAAAAATGAGGTTACAGCACCACCAAGTGGTAAGTGAAGTCTCAAGTAGTTATACATGCGTGCTTAGATACATTTAGAGTATTTTATAATTCAAAACTCTATTTGTAACTTAATATGAAAAATGAAATCTCTTAAATATTCTGTATTACTTCTAGTATTAGATTGAATATTTCTAATTACTGACTAAACATGAAACAGCAAAAAAAGTTGGAGTTATATAGTGCCGTTTACATAATAAAACATACAAAGGCACTTCACAGTACCATAATCAAACAAACTGACATGAGACACAAATTAGGTTAGATGATCAGAAGCTTAAATAAAACATTAACTCTTAAGGAGTGTTTTAAATAAAGAGGGGCTATGAGGTTTAAGGAGGGAATCCCAGTGCTTAGTGCATTACATTAATGATTAATTTAAAATCCTACACATAATCTCACTTCATTAAGTCAGAATGGTTTCCTAATCATTCTATTTGTATGATGAAATACAGAATTATTTTGAATGCTTAGATTACAAATTAAATATAAACTGGTCATTTAATTGTTGAACCCTGAGACTTTTGGATTGTTTTTGTTTTAAAAATTGTACTGTGGAAATCAATGCTAAGTCTACCATTCATTGTACATCTTTAGTTGCCTAATTAAATTGCTACAGTCCTTGTGGTCAACGTACTCTCACAATGCTGTTACGCAAGGTTTCAGATTTTCAACACAACAACATTAAAGGAACAGTAATATATATTCAGGTCAGGACCCTGTACAACTGGGAGAACAACTAGAAGTTAATCACATTCCCCATGTGTCAGTTGCCATTGTCAGGAGTGGTGGGAGGTTTGGGAGTTACTATAAAAGTTGCTTTGATGAGTTGCTGCACTGTATCTCGTTGACTTTACATGTTGCAGTGACAGTACTCCTGTACTTCTCCTATCCAGGCACCATGAGTGCACTTCATTATATTTCATACTTATGCATTGTAAATGTTGGTGAGATTTTGATGAATCAGGAGGTGAGCCACTTATTACAGATAGCAACCCTCTGACCTGCTCTCATATCCACATCATTCAGATTGGCTTTTAGTTTACAAATAGTTATATGTTAGAAGTGCTGAACTGACTTCTGGCTGATAGTAAGAATTAGCTGAATACTAGGATAAATTTTCTTTTCAACTTGTGAGATATGATTGGCCTTTTTATTTGACAGTCATACTTTCAGTTTAGGACCTTTTAAAAAAGAAAACCTCTGTCCTTTTCCTCGCAGACAGGGAATGTATTCAAACATTCCAACCTTTTATTTTTCTGTGTAAATTATAGGTCATGTTATTCCTCCCTTTTGCATAAACTGCTACAGAAATTCCTATTCTAAGTACTTATGAAGCAACTTCTATAACTAATTTTATTGGAAAAAGTAATGAGGTTTCTTGTGTCAAGCCACTGCAGGGATTGTGCAATTAGAAATTGAATATACTCATCTTGCTATAACTCAACCCAGTACAGGGACTGTGGAATTTTATATTCATTCCTTTATATTTTCTAAGTCTTTTGAGAGAACAAGTCTCTGGACTTTGCTTGCTTGATTAAAAATGTACCAATTTAAAATAATCTTTACTTGCCATTACCTTACAGATGTTCCTGTCTTTTACAGCCAGTCAATCAAGGCCATCACTACCAGAATGAAATGCTTTTGACTCTGTCTCAGAAAAAAATGAATCCACTTCTTCTTTCAAATCCACGGTAAGCACAGACAGTAACAGTACGCCTTAGGTTTTCACTAATATTACCAACGTTTCAACTTAATATATTGCAGCATTCATGCCGATGTCTCAATTATTTTTACACTGCTACCCAAGCTTGCCTTTGCACTCTTTGTATTTTTTATTTACCTCAGAATTAGACTAGTTTGTCCATGAGCAAAACCACAAAGATCAGATTATTTAAACATGTTCCTGGTGCTATGATTTTGGAGGATCAATAGTGTGATGTATTTCTTTATCAAGACTTATTACAAACTCCTGTCTTGGGATCCTTCCTTTTTATTAACCATGTATTAGTGTGAATGCATTGTCTTTAATCCTTTCTGGAATTTTATGAGAATGTTGCATTTATAGTTTCACTGCACTTTTAACTTGAGGATTGGGAACAAATTTCACAATTATTGAGTTTTCTTACCATAATCTGTCTGTTCTCTGTATTTTTAAACAGATCAAAACTTAATTTAAAAAAAAAGGTAGCCTTATATTTTGTGCATCTTCTACCCACTTAACATAATCTGGGGAGCATTCTCTAGTGCTTGGAGAAATTTATAGCGGAAAATCACATCAAACACTTGCTTTATTTAGTAGCCCCGAAATGCAGAAATGGATATTTCAGTCAGATCAGCACTAGAGGATGGGCACATCATCAATTGAAGCAGACTGACAGGCTTCATGCCGTCAGAATTAGCCCATGCCCACACATCATTCACTACCTCAACTATGGCTAATCAGCTTCCACTGTATTTGTGGGTTTCGCCTCCAGCAGGGTGTTTGTACACGATGCGGCAATGCATATGTTAGCTCCCATAACATAAGAACTAGACATGGGGGAGTGTGGTATTGGAAGATTCAAAGGACATTTATTATATTTCTTGATATATACATATATTATTGTCATTGACTCTTGAGAATCTGGGATAATATTAAGCTTTCACCACCATGTCATATCTCAATGTACCCCAGTTAATATGAGCCTGAGATCTTTATACTCCCAGCTCACATGCTATGTTACAGTACTGACATGTTGGGCATCTCTGTCAAAGGTATACTGCATGCTTCATATCTAGTGCTCATCTGTTGTGTGTTCTCAGGTGGCAGTACCATCCAATTCAAGGAAGGAATTGTCAATCACATTGGAATATCATTTGTTGTCATTTGCTGTAACAGGGACTACTGCTGCAAGCAGCACCCTGTAATAGCCCATTTTTGTGGCAGTCGAAAGATACAGTTCTTCAAATTTCCATGCTCTTTGGTAGAGACTTCAGTGACAGTGTTATTGTCAAGTACAGACTGTTCCCAGTCGTCAAAGTCATTATGATACAATATATCTTACATGAATCCTTGTACCTGCCCGATGAATATCCTGACAGCATTAAGGTCTCTATACAGTGCATCTTTTACTGGTAATCATCATCCGTTTTAACAATGTGACCCAGTTATTGTAATCATGTTGTTTGAACATTGCAATGATTCTTTCTGAGTTTGAAAGCAATGGCATCTCTTTGTTGGGAATTTAATGCTGCAAACAGATGAAATTAATTCAATCTGTGTTCCTATTTCTGATATATAGTCCAATTTTTAACTCCATGCAACAATCTACTCAATACACAGGCATTATAAATTCTCAGTTGTAGGACAATTGTGAATTTGGGGTTTTCCCATGCTCTTATCTAAAGCTTTCCTAAAAGTACTGCCTCAGCAGCTCTATAAGCAGAAATTATTTTGTTCAGGCAAGGTACCGAATTTTGAGAACTATAATCTCTGTGACAAGAATCTTCTTGTATTCTTCCCTTTGTGTTTGTAGTAATGCTTGCATAAGGTTTATGATATTTATTACAGGAACATGTTTTCCATCAGCTGTTGGGTGCAGCTGGATGCAGAATGAATTCGGGCACAATGGCTAAAATACCAGTTGAGCTAAATAAATGAGGTCTTGTAGTGCCAATGATAATGTCCCTATCTGTCAGCCAGACAGCTTGGGTTCAAGCCTCACCTATCCCAGAGATATGAAAAAAACATATCAAGCATGTGTTTTAAAATTAGTTTACAGCATTTAATTTGTCCAAGACTTATGTATTTTGGTATTATTTAATGAGTGCAACATAAAATGATACTTGAAATAAACATTAGTATTTCAGGCAGTTTATTGTGATACTGATGAATGCAGTTCTCCCATTATTAAACATATTTTAAAAATCGCAACGTATCTTGAACAATCCAAGCAGGTTGGGAAATACCACAATCTTGATTTGATTGGATAATTATCAATTTCTATAAAGCATGTGCAGATGACTGCCTTCCACATGTTCATGTTCCAAAAAGTATGACCCAGAGAATCAAAGAACACTAAGTATTTTGAAATGCTTCATGAACTGAAAGTTCAGGAGATTGAATCATTTTGTGGTATTTGGGGGTTTTAGAATTCTGATGCATCAAAGAAGTAACAATATATTGAAATTGATTTTTAAAAATCAACTATTTATTTAACAGATATTGAATGAAAATATTTTATTGATACATTGTTTCATAAAAGGTATTATCATTACTAGTTCCAATTCTTAAATACATTCACTTTTATCAAAGCATCTGTAATATTCGCTGGGAATTTTCCCCAAATCATCTGTGAAAAAGCCCAGGAACTACACTTTTCTCCTTATTCCAATATGTGGCATTCATTTTCCCAGGCACAGTTATGGATTCTGCAAGAGTAGATTCATCCTATATTTTGAATGTAAAACATAATCCTCAATTACACTTGCGTTGCATTTTAAGAAATTTCTTTTATCAGACAATACTCATTGCAAAACCTGAAAAAGTAACTCCTCAGTTTTCGGTAGTAGAAACGTTTATACAATTGGAAGGATAATATTTTATAGAGCATAGAACATAGAACAGTACAGCACAGTACAGGCTCTTCGGCCCATGATGTTGTGCCGAACTTTTACCCTAATCCTAAGGTCCATCTAGCCTCCACCCCTACCTTATACTATCATCCATATGCCTATCTAATAGCCGCTTAAATGCCCCTAATGAGGCCGACTTCACTACCCGCTCCAGCAATGCATTCCACGCCCCGACCACTTTCTGAGTAAAGAACCTACCTCTGATGTCTCCCCTGTATCTACCTCCACTCACTTTAAAACTATGACCCCTCGTAATAGCTACCTCCACTCGAGGAAAAAGTCTCTGGCTGTCTACTCTATCTATACCTCTGATCATTTTGTACACCTCTATCAAGTCATCTCTCATCCTTCATCGTTCTAAAGAGAAAAGCCCTAGCTCTCTCAACCTTTCCTCGTAAGACCTTCCCTTCACTCCAGGCAACATCCTGGTAAATCTCCTCTGCACCTTTTCCAACGCTTCCACATCTTTCCTGTAATGAGCAACCAGAACTGGACACAACACTCCAGATGTGGCCAAACTAGGCTTTTGTATAGCTAGAGCATAATGTCACGGCTCTTGAACTCAATCCCGCTATTAATGAAAGCTAACACACCATACATCTTCTTAACAACTCTATCCACCTGGGTGGCAGCTTTCAGGGAACTGTGGACGTGAACCCCAAGATCCCTTTGCTCCTCCACACTGCCAAGAATCTTTCCGTTAACCCTGTATTCTGCTTTCAAGTTTGTCCTTCCAAAATGAATCACCTCACACTTTTCAGGGTTAAGCTCCATCTGCCACTTCTCAGCCCAGCTCTGCATCCTATCAATGTTCCTTTGCCACGTCGAACAGCCCTCCGCACTGTCCACAACGCGACCCACCTTCGTATCGTCCGCGAACTTACTAATCCACCCTTCCACTCCTTCATCCAAATCATTTACAAAAATCACAAATAGAAGAGGACCCAGGACAGATCCTTGTGGTACACCACTCGTAACTGAGCACCATGTTGAATATTTTCCGTCCACTACCACCCTTTGTCTTCTAAGGGTCAGCCAATTCCGAATTCAATCTGCCACATTTCCCCCTATCCCATGCCTCCTTACCTTCTGCATGAGTCGACCATGGGAAACCTTATCAAACGCCTTACTTAAATCCATGTATACCACATCCACTGCTCTACCTTCATCCACATGTTTAGTCACCTCTTCAAAGAATTCAGTAAGGTTTGTGAGGCATGATCTACCCCTCACAAATCCATGCTGACTATCACGAATCAAACTGTGCCGTTCCAAGTGATCATAAATCCTATCTCTCAGAGCCCTTTCCAATAATTTTCCCACCACTGACGTAAGACTAACTGGCCTGTAATTTCCGAGGTTATCCCTATTCCTTTTTTAGAACAAGGGAATGACGTTTGCCTCTCTCCAATCTTCCAGCACTATACCTGTGGACAGTGAGGACGAAAAGATCATCGCCAAAGGCTGTGCAATCTCTTCCCTCGCTTCCCATAGAATCCTTGGATAAATCCCATCAGGCCCGGGGGACTTATCTAATTTCAACTTCCTCAAAATTCCTAGCATATCTTCCTTACTAACATCAACCTCCTCTAGCCTACCAGCCTGTTTCACACTGTCTTCCTTGACAACTAGATCCCTCTCAGTTGTGAATACCAAAGAAAAGTATTCATTAAGGACCTCTCCTACCTCTTCAGGCTCCTTGCACAAATTCCCTTTACAATCCTTGATTGGCCCTACCCTTTCTCTGGTCATTCTCTTATTCCTCACGTACGTATAAACAGCCTTGGAGTTTTCCTTGATCCTATCTGCCAAGGTTTTCTCATGCCCCCTTAGAGCTCTCCTAAGCCCTTTCTTCAGCTCCTTCCTGGATAACTTGTATCCCTCCAGAGCCTTTTCCAATCCTCGTTTCCTAAACCTTACATAAGCATCCTTCTTCCTCTTAACCAGTCATTCGACCTCTCTTGAGAACCAAGGCTCCCTCACTCAACCGCATCTTCCCTGCCTGCTCGGGACAAACGTATCAAGCACACGCAGTATGCATTCCTTAAACAATCTCTACATTTCAATAGTGCTCTTC